GGAAAACTTCACCATATGGGTAAACCCCGTGGAATCCATTACTCCCCAAAAGATGTCCTGATCCATCCATACTGATGGTTTTATTCATGTTTAACTCTCCAAGAATAATCCATCAGCAACACCAGCTTCAGCTTGGCCATTAAATCCTGTTTGGAATTTAGTGATCATGCCAGGAGAACCATAAACGATGCTCGAAGGACAAGCCAGTTATAAGGAAATGTGTTACTGTTCTCTGTAGCAGTGAACTGATGAAGGTCACTTCTTTAAAAGGAGCAACATGATAGTTGATTTGGTTAGTGATTTTTATAGACCCAGTTTTTATTTTTCGCCCAGTTAGCTCTAACCAGATGCTAGGATTGTTGGGATTATTGAATAGGAAGAAGCAAAGTTATTGGAATATTTCAACCTACAAGAAGACTTTAATTTAGAAGAATTCTAAATGTAAATGTGGTTTAATGAGACTGGAACTCAAGCAGTGCCATTTTGTATATCCTGCTAATAATACTATTTTCTTTACAGGAATGTAGTCTCTTCTACTCCAAAAGGTTCTGCCTCCCCTGTGTGAATGAAAACCTAAAGGCCTTTCCTTTGGAAATACAAGAAGATATGGGTAAAAGAAAGCCTCAACAAAAATCCTTCCCCTGTAAAAAAATGGATAGAAGAACATAAATACTGAAGGACCAAGAGAGACAGTTCTTTGGGTGGGGTTTCTCCACTCTCCTTTTGGAGACTTATCATGTTGCTCCTTTTAAAGGAGCAATAATAACCTCCCTCAGCTCACTCCTACAGAACACAGCAACGCATTTCCTTACAACAGGCTTGGCTTCAGGCATCACCACACAGCCGCTGCGGTGCCAGCCGTACGGCCGCGAGGTGTGGAAGAGCCAGAAGGACAGACAGACGGGCCTCTTGTCACCACGGAAAATGCACGGAGGAAAAAATGAAACAGCCTATAGCATAGGAACCACGTCCAGGTTTTCACATTTGTTATTTTCACGATTTGTATTGTTCTTGAACACTCCTGCAGCGTTAGGAAAACCAGAGACAGACTTATCTGGCTTAGTTCCTTATGCATCCAAGAAAGTATAAACCAATTGTTAACCTGACAGTGCTGTCCTGGTAGGATTACAGGAGGCAAGGAATTCCAAGCTTTATTTTGGTCTGTTACAAGTCACAGATACCCATAGAAGTATCTAGATTCTTCAAAATTATAATCTCAACAGTGTGACAGTATTAAGACTTCTGAAGGTAGGTGCTCTTCTAATACCAATATAATAATAATACTACTTAGAATTCACTTGCAGTCCCTTTCACTCAGTCTTGCAGTCCATGTCAATACAGCCACAGGAGAGCACCATTAACACACCTAGCTTATGCTTTACAAGTAGATATGACTTCCTTTTCACTTACACATCAGTTAATAAGCTCAATGCCTTCCTGAACTGGGCAGTTAAACTGCAGCTAGAGTAGGGATTTCAGAAACATAGTTTTAGTCAAAAAAGGGTAAAAGAATTGTTAGAGCAACAGCAGTTTTAGATCAAAAATTAGCTCTCAATTATCTGTGTTGACTTTGTTGTAAATACAAGGAAGATTTAGGTGGCATTTATGTAAAACCACTTAGTCACACACCTGAAGGATATGTCTAGAATGCTCCTAATCACCACATCACATTATTTACTCAAGCTTTTTTTGGTCATTGGTTCAGAACCTGTTAATGCCTTGGTTAATACCTCCTGTCTTCTCAACACTTCCATCCTTGTAATTTGTCCTGTGTCAACATGGAAACTTTAGTAGAACAAACCATGTGTCTGTTAAAAGAAATCAACATTACTTCAATGAGTTTTAGTTCTTTAGGATGTTTGAGTGTCCTAAAATTTTTCTATTTTTTTTCTGAGCCTAGGATATTGGTGTCCTCTGCTGAGGACTGGAATTTCTTGCAGTTACTAGAGGAGCAATAATGGACCTGTTAGTACCCTTTTCAAGCTCTAGGTGCTTTGAAGACAGAGTACACAGACATCTTTAATTGTGGACAAAAAGATACATGTTAGAAGTCAACACTTTGGATACCTTTTTGCAGTAAAGAGACTACATTTTCAAAGAAAGTGATATTAAACTTATTTAAAATGGGTGGTATTAAATTTCAGTTTCGTATTAGACACACCAACTTAAAAAAGCTGTAGTGTATCTATCTGCTCTGTACAAATAACAGAGGCACACCCTATGCTAAAAGCACAACTGTAAAGAGAACAAGAGAGAATCACAGTACCTTTCCATCTTAAAACTAGTCTCACAATCAAGCTGACAAAAAGCATCATAGTTGTGTGAGATCACATACTGTGTTTATACCAGTAAGTGTCTTTCTAAAACTTTTTCATTTCCTGTATTCCACAATGTTTGCAAGAGGTTGTATCTTAGCTCTTAGCTTGAAAGCAGGTCTCAGAAGCCTGGCTAGTGAAGTTCCCATCTGAATGAGAACATGCCTTTTGGTTTTATGACGTGCAAGTCTGTCTTGAGACTGGGACATGCACCTGCTAACAGGCTGGGAAGCATTAGTGTCTCTGAGCTGTTTTCCTCCTTTTCAACCTCTTCTGTCCCCTTTAAGAAAAATGCAGTTAACTTATTTATTTATAATCATTATCTTTGCCATCATATGATAGAACCACCATTTAAAGCCCTCAGCAACGACCCTACCTTTAAGTACTTGTTCAGTTGAACTGGAGGGGGCATAGACTCAGTATTAAAAGGGAGCAGAATCTGTCACTACACAATTTTTAATTTGGCCTAGCCCAGCTCATTTATTTATCTGGAGTACAACAGAAAAAGCTAAGTTAAGGATACGTCTCTGCTTCACAGTCACCTGGTTACACGTACCTCTTTGGTGATGAAAACTGTACTTCTAGCAAGTACCACTAAGTAGTTCAGTAGCCCAGTGCTGTCAGGTGTGCTCTGTCACCTCTGGTCCACACTTCAGAAGGCGGTGGCTGACCTACATACAGTTGGATATTTCCTGGAATAACAAAGGATTATTATCTGTGCCCAGCTGTTAAAACTTGTGTATTCCACATTCTCATATTCCCACTGAACGTGAGCATGATGGTCTCTGTACCATAATGTTTTGGTGTCTCTTGATTTCACAGACCAAATGCCATCACGCCCAAACTTAATACCCTTGAGGCCTACACCTCAAGATGTGCACAGCCTTCACAGTTTGGTTTCATCAGGTTCTCCGAGCACTTTCTGCTGCTCAGAAATCAGGCTTCAGTGCTGCTGAGCACAGCCAATGAAGAAACGTGATTATCCTCTGCTGTAATTTTTGCTTTAGCACTCTTTTACCAGCTTAATAACTCCCCAGAGTCTCAAAGGAAAACAATTATCTGTGACATATCCTCCCAAACTGATTGAATTGAAGCCACGCTCATCAAATCAGTTAGTATGTTCCGTGTCATGTAGAAGTGAATTCAGTGCTTGTTGAGTTCAACAAATGTCTCAAGCTGGTCATACAGGCAACGGGGATGGAAGGACCAGCGGGATGGTGGGTCAGCAAACAAACTGATGAAATACAGATATCTATTATATATACACAACATATACATACACGTTACACATTCCTCATTTAAAAGGTGTGCCTAGCAGTAAATCCGTAAGCATCAGCACTTTAATGATGCTTCAAATACCGTTCCACCTTTAAAACATCCTTGCAATAGGCACATCTTACTATGTAGTAAACATACTTAATACAATTTGTTAACAGATACTTGATGCTAACCCAGAAAAATCTGGGCACCAATCCCACCAAAGGTTGCTTAATCCACTCCTGTTCACGACTAAAAATCAGCACGATTACTCCCTGGTATAAAGTTAAGCAGCTAAGTGTTTTCTGAAGCAGGGCTTTGTATACCAAATTAAGGCAAATCAGGTTAAGGCAAAATCATTCAAGTTCTTAATTACACTAGAGCAGCACAAAACACACGTTCAGGCCACTGGTACTATCGCAGCGGGAGCAACGGGTGTCACCGTTCCCAGGCCCAGGCCCTGCTTCTGCAAACATTGACACAGGCTATCAGTTGAGATTGTAAGTGGTTGTACAAGAGCACAGAACAGAACTACTTGCGTGTACATAAAAGTTACTCGTGCGTGCACGGTCCCTGAGTGAGGGACTCGGTCAGGACTTGGCAGCTGCTCTGGATAACGTACAAGAGGCAGCCACCAGAGGGGAAGAGGTAGGTTTGTCTCAGAATCATGACATTACAGTCTTTCCTGGAAATAAAAGATCAGCACAAGTCATTAAATTCAATTTTAAAAATACTTTATTTTTTTTTTTAAACCATTAAGGCAAAGCCATATTTCAAATTAACTGTGTTTACATTCAATCTTAAAGGATGATTTTTTTTTTTTTTTTAAAGCACATAGGTTCCTACCAGTCCCTCTACAAACACTATGAATTCAACCTCTTATTATTAAAGGAAATGGAAAAAAATCAGAACGTAAAAAAAGAATAAAAATGTTTAGTTCAAGTTTTTTCATCCTAGATCAGTAGGCTGGTAACATTTGAGAAGGCATCGTCATATTTCGATATATGTAATTTTGACATTTGCAAGTGCAAGAGACTTTGTCTTTCCTACAAACCCCTGTGAGAGCAGGCTTCCATTCTTTCTTGAAAATGTCATTTGCACTATTCTGACAGAAAGAAACTTGGGAACTTGGCTTGAATTAGTGGTATTTTACTGGGAAGCAACCATTCCATGAGAATTAGGTTTGACTACTTCCTACAAGAAATGTCTGCTCTTTGTAAATTCCATACCCAAAAACTCCTAAAAACATAGGTGACTGGAAACAATTACCTGTGTTTTTGTTTGTTTTTTTGGTTTTTTTTTTTTTCTCTTTAATATTGATATCTTGATTTAATTAAACACTTGTTAACTCTAGTGATTAGGGTTTGGCAACGTTAACGAAAACGTGCCTTTTTTTGTGTCATATCAGATAACAAGACAATTTGAGACGTGATAAAAGGCTTTAACATCACGATGTAATAACACTGTTGTGTTACATCCCTAAAGAAAATTCAGAGCAATCGTTTGTAAAAGCTGTGAAATAGCAGGAGCAATATGAAATGCAGCTCATCTGGGAAGCTGTCAAGACAGTTTGGGGCAGGGGGTTCCTCGTTAAAATCCATCATATTAAAACAGTTAGATTTGTTGTTGCTAATGGAATAACTGAAGCCATCGATGCTCTTCCACTTCTGAAGCTTCTGAAAGAGGGGAAGTATTTGTGAAATAGCTCCCGAGATGGCGCCATGGCTTCACCCTATCCCACAGGATTCATTTCCCAGGGGAGAGGGCTGAAGGGTTGGATCAGAGGCAGCTCCCTCCCGCTGCCTGCAAAAACAAAACAATAAAACCACGACAGGGAAGGCACCTGCCACAATGGTGCCACTGATGAGGGCCCAGAGATCCCGGCCCCAGCATGCCCAGGCCGTGTCCAACTCCTCTGGTGCCAACAGAGGGGCAAAGCACGGCCCCTCCATGGAGGCAACCCCGCGCTACCGCCGGGCAGAACGGACCTAGAACGGGCCGGGGGGGAGGAAGAAGTGTGGATTGCAACGGCGCTCGGCGGGGTTATTCACATATGAATCATCCACCAGAAAATTTGCTAACCTTCTTACAGTTCCTGTTGCACATCACAAACAGATTTTGAATGATCAGACTGCACACTCCTACGCAGCAGAACGCAGTACGTGCACGTTGCCAGTATTTCAGCTGGTATTTTCCCATGCTGCCAATTTATTTTTTTTTTAATTTTTTTCCTATCAAGAGTAAAGAACGCCATGAAACTTCTTGCATTGATCGCAAGGAGTCTTTTCCACAGTAGGAATTACTGTACCTGCATGTCCAACCTGAGAAAATATACCAGAATCCTTAAAACCAACTTTAAGTACCTTATGCTTGATCTTGCAGTCCTTATTTAAGGCTCAGCCTGTAATCTGATAATCTCTCTGTGGATGCAGCCTATCCCCTGGGCAGAGGCAGCTCATCTGAAATTGAGGTCCTTGCAATAGGAATTATGTTTTGAAACATCCTTGCAATGGAATCTGACGACAGAACAGCGACTAACACAATAAAGAAAAACCCCAAACAGCTTCAGAAGCCAGAAGAGATTTAAAAAAAACCCAAACCAACCTGTGAGCACATTAGAAAAAACAAAAGAGGACACACCCTCGCCCTAGGATGGGTTTAGTGAACAATGAGTTTATACCGTGTATTTACAGTGTAAAGTGACATATCTGTTAGTACCTTTTACAGGTTTTTTTCTTTGCTGCCTGTGAAATTAAGAAAAGTAGCTGTAGGTTACCATAGGAAAGTCTTTAAAAAGGAAAGAGCTTTTACAAATACGACACAAACTTAGTAGGCAATACACCTGCATGGTGACACTGATCAAGTGAAAATTTCAAGTTGGAGCAACCCGGGGAAATAAAAGTTTGATCCATTACAAATAAAATGCACTAAGTGTAAATCATTGCTGGCATATTTATATCATACCGTGCTTGTGCTAGTTGCTCTGTTTTGACTACAGCACAATAAAAGGTTTACCTTTAAAAGTTAACTTTGTTCCTACATCAGGATTCATTAGCAGGAATGCTGTAGGCACAGACTGTCACACCTGAGTTACAGGACGTGCAACCCCTACAAACAGATTCTGAGTTCATCTCTACATAAAATCACAAAGGAACACTCCGACACAAAAGCCAATAGTGGCATTTCAACACTCTTTTGCACTATCAAATGACGTATTTGAAAATACATCTCTAAAAACTGCAGATCAGTGCAGGTAGCAGGAAGTAATCCTGAATACACATTATTTCTAGTAAGCCACAAGTCAGCTCCTCAGAAAATATCAGAAATGGAGTGCTAACAGAATATAGCTCGTTTCAGCTCTCTTTCAGACTTTTAAGGAAAACAAACTACTGCCCTGTAAAGCAAAGATGAACTTAGTTCTATAAGCTGTCTTCCATACTGGTGAACTTGACTTAAAATATTAAAAATATTAACTCAATTTGAGGATTATAACTCTTCCTCACCTAGACTTACTGTCATTAAAATTAAATAAAAAGGAAGTCTATGTTCTATGTGAAAATATATTTCAAAATTTTGTTACAGTTGTCAATACCAAACACTGATAAATTGCAGAATTTGTGATACTTCTTCACAAATGATACAGTAATAGAGACCGGACAGGAATAAATAGCAGTTTGTCTTTGACTTCAGGCCCAGAATCCTTACCCCATAAAAGTAAATCTTTCCTCGCTGTACAAAAGGGTTCAACATGATAAAGTATGAAACAAATATTTAAATTAAATAATTTACATATTTTTCTTAAAGCACCTCTGTAATATAATTTAGTGAAAGTTTATACCTTGCAATTATATTCTTGTATTTTACAAATTGAAACATGAAGAAATGGTATTAAATAAAAAAAAAAAATCCCACAATACATAATATCAATAATCTTAGGTCAAACCCACATATAATTTAAATCTCTAGTAAAAGAAGGACAATAAAGCTGATTAAACCTAGATAAGAAAAAAATTACATGCAACTGATTATCAAGACAGCATCTGAGATATAACCAAGCACCAGATCACCTTACATTTCAACACTTATTAAAGGATTAGGGTTTTCAGGGAAGGGCCAGGATTTGTAAGAACTTATACTTAAGCAGTGTCACAACAGCTGCAAATGCATTTGTTAAATGTAATTGCAGATTTTCAACTAAGTAACAGGGATGCTTTTCAAGAGAGACAGAGCTGAAATTGTTCCTCTTCGCCGTACAGGCAGCTACAGCGTCATCTTCTCCAACTGCTTTGTCTGAGATGGTGCCTTAAGTTGTCCAGGCTTCCCATTAGAAATAAGGAGGAAATTCAAATGTAATAGCATGTGACCCAGCTCTCGTGATGAATAAATCTCCCCAAGTTTTAGCAGTTTGAATAAACAAACAAATGTTTAGATGCTTATTATAAGCTCTTTGATTTGCAAACTTCTGCTAGCTCTCTCATGAGAACGGATTTAGTGCAACTGCTGGTATTTCCTAAATCTGTGCGGGCCAGAAATAATGCAAAAAATATGCTCTTTGGCAAAACTTCAGCTTTCTAGCAGCTGGCTAGAACCAAAGCACAAAGGCACACGGAAGTGGCAATTAAGTAAAAAAACCACATTTCTTTAAATGTGAAGAAAGATTCAATTTCTGGAAGTGGAAAACATTCCTACCTATTGTCTGTCAATTTGTGTTTAAAACAAAAGTGGGGTTCTGAAATTCTGAAAAGGTACAAAGTAATTGATTTTTTTTTGAAATAGCAGTTGTATGCTGGAGATAGTACACCTTGAAAGGAAATATTTAAGGAGATAAAAATGAACATTGGATTTCCTTAACACTTGACACAAAACCTTCCTCTCTCTTTTATTTTTCCCCTCTTCCCCTTTATCCAAGTACCTAGGGCATCCCAATAAATAAACAAGAAAACCCCAAAACAACCCTCAAAAATTAGTGAGCTGTAGGTTTGTTGAAAACTTAAATCATACTATTGTTTCCTAAGATTTTCCTCTATCCATCTGTTGTCTCTTGTCTTAAGTTGTTTGTGGGCACCTGGTTGCTAACCAGAATTCTTCGGTGCTGTGATAGTAAAATTATAAGTTATGTTGGTAAGAATCAGATCAAAACTGTACCTAACAAGCCAGAAAATATTTAATAAATTTTTAAATCCTAAAATTTAAATCCTAAAATTTAAATCCTAAAATTTAAATCCTAAAATTTAAATCCTAAAATTTAAATCCTAAAATTTAAATCCTAAAATTTAAATCCTAAAATTTAAATCCTAAAATTTGAGCACTTTATTTTTTCTCCATAGAATGGGTATTTTAAAATATTAGATAATCTGTACAAGGTGGAGATGCTGAAGGCTCCTCAGTAATAGATCTTGAACTACTTCAGATTCCAAACTTCAGACACACAAATTGAATCATTTTGAAATCTAATTGGCAAAAGCCTGCTGCAGTCACCTACTGAAGTAGCAAAGGTACTTCATTAAAAGTTTAATGTAGAAATTATTAATTTCTTTTGCTCATTAATATTTGGGAAGTGAATTGTCTGCCCTGTGTCATTCTTTGAAGAGACTGTGGGTATGTGCACAGTGTAGCAGTGTGGGCAGTGGAATCCCTCCAGAATTTTAGCCTCTGTTAACATCTTGTTCATATTTCTGTAATTCAGAGATGCGTTCTTTCCTTTTTTTTTTTTTTTCATTAAAAGTCTGCAATTTAATTTAAAACAGAAATCCAACTTCAGCGTCCAAGGAACTAGAAAAAAAAAAAATGCTTGCTGGTTTTCAAATAACAAAACAAAATGGATCTAGAAGAGGAAAAATGCAAGTTATGCACTTTCCTAATGGTGATAATAGGAACCTGTTACAAGCAGCTGCTAATTTAGATAAAATTATGCCTTCTACCGAATTATGCTGTTTTCGAGTCTTTATAGTTTTGCTTAGAATTTAAGTATTTATTATTACATTTTCCATGTTTTTCAAAAAAGTTTCGGTAAAGTGTTTTAGCCACTTTTTGAGAACAGGAGCAGGAAAAAATAGTTTTTGTCCACATTGACTGTGTCAGATTTTCCCAAGAAACTTCAGTACACCCAAACTAAGGAACACGACTTTGAGATTTACTCTTTGCAAAAATCTGCACTTTGGAGGAAAAAAAAATCAGCTTATATTATTTTTTTCAGCTTATTATTTTTTAGAAGATAAAATAGCTGGCTATTAGAGTTTCACTACTGCGTAGCAATTATTTCAGCACTCGATGTCTTATGCCTAAACCCCTTAGTGAAAGATGCCTGACAGGAATAAAGCAGCGTTGTTGCTAAAATCCTCTTGTTATTTCTGGGGACATACTACGTGCTGCTGTAAGACACAAAAGACAACCCACCTCTCATCTGCTCTTTCCTGGTAAGACCAACAATGTTCTCCTAACGAAGCATTAGAAGTAGCTGTAACGTTCTTATTCTTCCTGTTACCAACTGGTGACAGGAAAGGGGAGAGTGTTTTGTGCACGTGCATTTATTGTTTCTAACCTGCCCCAGATGGTCACCAAATTTGAGGCCTATGCTTCAATATTTTACACTGAATATACCTGACACTAAAACCTCTGCTGGATAAACACCAAATTGCTGTAATTTATCCGGTGTCCACCAATGCTAGTTGGCCTCTAAAGAAACAAACACTGTGACTAAAATAAGAACCAGTGTGATGTTCACACTTTATCAATCTGACTAAATTCTTGCAGTGAAGGTTTAAGATTCTGAAGTCTTCAAGCATCCTACAACAAAACACGTACAAGGTGTCCTCCTGTGCCACTGAAAGCTTAACTATTGTGAAAATGCTAAGTTTGGCTCCTGAGATCTTTGTGTTATGAAACAAATAGTAAAATAAGAATAATGTGAAGTTACCGTATTAAAAAAAAAAACAAACACAAAAAGAAATAGCACAGTGTCTTGCAAACTAGCACTTATGTGTAGTACTCTTTGATAAAAGAATCCAATAAAATGGCAAAGTCAAGCAGTTTCCCTATGGCTTATTTTGCATCAGGAGTAAGTACTGTTGTAAAAATCAGAGTTTGCTCTCAGGAACGTGATAATCCTACTCTCCACTATGCTCTCTTTAATATTACACAATCAACACCTACAAATGCTGCTCTTGGTAATGTTGTCGCCTTATCCACTGTGGCGTTACGGACAAGGACAAAATTTGGTGAAATAATTTAGCTAATACTTCTGTCAAGAAGGGCTAAGAAGGAGTAGAAAGAAATATATCCAAGTGGGTAACTGGAAAAAAATGAAACAGTATATTCATGGGAAAAGGAAACAGGTCCAGACAACTCCGTACTGCCAAGGTACTTGTCAAGAAAGAAGGTGCCATTCCTATGCCACCATTTCTTCAGAGTAAGCTACCACTCCACCAGAATGCTGGGCAGTTGAAATTCTTTTTCTGGGCTAGGATCGTTTTTTTCAGTCTCTCCAAAGCTCTTGCTAATTCCAAACAGTACTTTTAAATCAAAACTACATCTTGAGTTCTCCAAAATACACATGGTATAGAATATAGGCTGGTTTGGGTTAGAAAAGACCTTAAAGGTCATCTAGTCCCACCCTCCGCCCCGGGCAGGGCCACCTTCCACCAGCCCAGGTTGCCCAAAGCCCCGTCCAACCCGGCCTTGAACCCTTCCAGGGAGGGGGCAGCCACAGCTGCTCTGGGCAGCCTGTGCCAGGGCCTCACCCCCCTCACAGGGGAGAATTTCTGCCTTGGGTCTCACCTAAATCTCCCCTCTGTCAGTTTAAAACTGTTACTGAATATGATATGGTTTTCCTCTGGGATATTTTTGTATTTCCTCAGAACACTTTTGAAAAAAGGATTCCATTATTTTATCCCATTTACTCTTCAAGAAACACCCGAATGGAGCACCTCAGCTATATTTTAGATAACACTTCGGATTTTATTTCATTTCATAAGAGAACTGTCTTTTAAACGTGCTAATCCTAAGGTATACCAATGTAAGACTCTATGAAGCTGTGCTGCATTTCATGGAATTGAAGCAGCAGCGGATCAAAGGTCTTTCTAATTTTTTAGAAGTGTATGTACAGCAATATCCAACCATTTGATACACCTAGACTGACTGCTGTAAGGAAAAGTGTTAGTTGGTTCTCAGTGATTACCATTAGCCAAAAGTGCATCATCTTTACGATTGTGCATATACCTGGAGAGAATTTGCTGAATTTGTTATGTTATTTCTAAAATGACTAAGCCAAGAGGAAATACAGTTTTGTTCATTTCTGTTACTTAACATTCTGATTTATTATACAAATATGCATTCCTTACCAATCTTCAAATTTTCAAATAAAAGAACCATTGTAAGACACTTCATGAGCTCTATGATCAGTATTTTTCTGCAGACCTCTTTCAAATGAAGACAAAAGATCCCAAACTAAAAGCAGTGTAACACACCAGTTACCCAGCTTTTAGATTTTTTTTCATGCTCTGAGCTGAGCGAACAGCAGATAACTGCAAGTAGTTTTGCTCCCATCTGTTATTAGTATTGCTCTCGTCTTTAAATACTGTGGAAAAAAAAAATACTAAAAATCCTTAATACATATCCCTGTAGATTTCCTGTAGTAAAGGGTGTAAATGTGCATCAGATTCAGTCTTCTTAATTATCTGAACAAGTTGAGCGTGCTCTGTGACAAGCTGTCGGAGGTCAGCCATTTTTTGGAGAAGTTTTGGGAAGAGGAAGATGTCATCAGGATGGTTGGTTTGCAAGTGAAGTTTCAGTACATGCACGATGCTCTCCTGCATTTTTTCAATGTGTCCTACGTTTACAAGACCAGGACGATCTGTTCTCAAAACAAAAGAATACATGTCATAATATTATAATTATTCTTTAAAAGTAGGCTACTTTATACATTCTGTGTTGTAGGCTACAGTGTATATTTACATTATACACTAAGGGCAGTGAGGTTTAAAATGTTTGTGGTGTTTTTGTTTTTTGGTTTTTTTGTGTGTGTTTTTTGTTTGTTTTTTTGTGTGGTTTTTTTTGTTTGTTGTTTGTTTTGTTTTGTTTTTTAAAAAAAGAAAAATAAAAAAGAGTAGTCTTCCTTATCCCTTTGGCCAAAGTTTTGTCAGTGCCCACAGTTATTTGAGGAGAGATTTCATACTACTAAATACAACCTATGCTACAAAAGAAGAAAACCCACAGCACCCTCTCACCCCAAAATACAGCAGAAGTATGCAGCCTAGAAATCCAGTTCTATATTCTGAATGTCCTGATAACAGAATTCAAACAGTAAGGATAAAAAAAACCCAACCCAACTTAAAAGTACATGGCTATTTCTAGAGTTCTTCAGTTTGGTAGCAATACCAAAGGATAAACAACACACTTTGACTCTTGGTTGCCGTATGTATACAGCACAAGTTATTGACAGGATGTAGAGAAGCACCTATTAAGGATATTTCATTCTTTCAATCTTTTATTTCCCTTTCTCAAAATGCTTATGGATAGTTTTGAATTTAACCCTAAATATGAAAGTCTTTACTTCTTGGAGGAAAGGATTATAAATTATTATTAAATTTGTGTTCCTCTACTCAGAGTTCAAACAACAGATATTAAAAAAAAAACCAAACAAAAACCACAAACCCCAAACCTCATATCCTTACATATTATGAAATAATTTTTAAAAAATACTATCAACTGGTTTTGGTTTTTTTTTTAAATTAGCTAAGTAAACTTTTTTAAAAACAGCCTGTGATTTTGAAATCAGAACGCAGGAAGCCCAGAGCTGTGCATCTGTGCAGAACTCATGACTTGATATAATCAGCAAGTTTCAAAGATAAGCAAAGCTATCATCTGCACCTGTCTCCAGTCTCATTACATACTATTTTTCTGCCCATTTGGTGGATAGAAATATTTTTTCCAACCCAGCCTTAAACATACTTTAAGAACTTTGTAGTGTTGGGCTGATGGTTGGACTCAATAATCCCAAGGGTCTTTTCCAACCTGAATGATTCTGTAATAAAAAAAATAAATCCTCCAAACCCCAAACAAAACAATACCAACACTCCTCACATGCCGCTTTTAAGAACAGAGAGTCATTAGACCCCTCTCTAAGCGAGGGTGAACAATAATTCCTAGCATGTCTACAATTTTGCAACGCAAAATACGGGATGGAGACTGTTAAATTACACAGTATCTTCCATGAAAAATGCTAAAAGGAAAAATGACATTTTCAGTGCTAGAATTAAATCCTCAAGAAATATCTAAGCTTTTCTATTAAAATTATTATGTCACATGAAGAAAATTTTGAAATGTACAACCTTAAACAACAGATATGCAATGCTTACCTCCACAGCAAATGATGGCAGCAACAAAAAGGGATATATCGCTGTCATCCAATTCTAGTGCATTGAATTTCATTGCAAAATCAAATTTGGGCTCCATTATATCACAGAATGGCTTTCTCAGGCTTTTCAGGAACTCCCGGGTTATAAAACCGTTTCCATAGGCTACCAGCATCCCGTCCTTGTTCATCACAGATGCTAACATGGCAAATATGGCTTCATAAACTCCGTATTTTAACAGTGTCACTTGATCATTCAAGTCAAGATTGGAGAAGCCAGGGATAGATTTGGCAAATTCAGTAAGTTCTGTGACGGTCTCTACAGATGTACACTGGCAGCAGTGGAAGATTCGAACTTCTGCTTCCTTGTTCTGAATTCCATTGGCTACCAATTTTGCCACCAGGGTCTTCTCTGCCATACACAAGGTATCCATATCATGTATAACAAATGGCTACAGAACAAAAGAAGTACTAATTCAGTTACAAAATCATGGTTATTAACCATCACTTTCTTAAAGAACAGGAATTCTGATATTTAACTTTTAGGCTAATCAGCCATCAGCTATCAATACCCCACGAGTTCTTTCATATTTCTGCATAAAGAGAAACCACGTATTGCAGAACTACAAGCTGCAGTATCTAAGAACAAGTCGGGTCTGCAAACAACAATGCAAGCAGTAAAATGTAAATATATATGACATATCTTTAATCTAGCTTTATGTAGTAGTTACAGTGAAGATCCAGAAGTACTGTGCTTAGTATGCATATATCCAGCTCACAGCAAGGCCCAGAAGGTTCACAAAAAACTTGGATTACCTTCTCCAGAAGTCCAGGTTATTCTGCCTACACTCCTATCGATTCCTAAACTAACTACACTTGATGCACATCATGATGCTTTCCTGAAGTATCCTAGGGGGAATACAGACAGTCATTTAAATATAGGACAGAATATTTGCACAAGAATGTGAACCCTGTACTACTCTTGTGTTTTATCATCAGATTTTCATAAGTTATGTCCCAGCTATCTTCCACAGAAATTCAGCTCACCTTTCTAGCTACAATGAGTGCTAAGTCATCTCTAAACCCAGAATCCCACCAGAATTCCAGAAAACACAGAATTTCAGTCTTGATTGTGGTCTTTTCTATAATCCCCTTAATTTAAAAAAAAGGTACGTACAAACTGATGAGCCAGTCTCTTAAAACATTAAAAAAAAAAAAGGCATTCAGACTTTCTTAAGAACAAACAGACCTCAAAAATATTTTGATACATATCTGAAGATAATCAAAACAGGACAATTCTCTAAAGAAAAATAACGAAAGCCAACACTTCCCAGCCTACCAAAGTCATGGCAACTGACCTTGAACATAAATCTAGTTCCATAAATGCTAAGCAAAGCACCTTCCCTGTGGTTTTTTTCCTCAGATCAAATATCATGAGGAACACTTGGTGTTGTTAGAAACTCAGAGAATTCACTTATTTTACTTGGAAAACTGTCAAACGTGCTAGTTTCTCCCAATTTTCTATTTTTTAAATGCTTATGGCAACTACACATTCCATCTCCCTTCCGTACTTAGACTTAACACAGAACAGAACTTTCTATATGCATGTGGACACGAGCAGAAAGTGGTAAAGCAATAAACCCACCGCATTTCTGAACCTTTAAAAGACTATCTAGTAAATCTTTTAGGAATTTATCATCAATTCAGTATGCAGAAAACAGGTATGGCCAAGGACTCGTGAGCTGAATTTAAAAGTGATATACCTTGTCATCATGAAAAATGATAGTTTATTCTGAAATAGTGGTGCCAAGGATTAGGATTCATTAAAATCAATTGTTAATGCACTGTTCAGAAACAGGTGGGTTATTAATTACCGACAACAAACGCCTCTTTTTAAAAATTTATTTTTCTGTTAAAAAGTCAAAAGAAAATGAAAATATTTGTTTTCCCATGGAATGGTGAAAGAGCTTAGAAACCCTCCTCCTCCCTGCATATTGAAGAATGAGCAAAGCAGCCTGTTTATAGTATACTGGGTCTGATTCCTCATTAATTTTTTCTTGTAAAGCCACTGTTACTAGTCTAGCCACTATTAGCTAGTCAACTGGATGGCTATAATCACAGAGCATTGATCGCATAAATGCGAATACAAAAATTAAGATGCAGTCTGCTCGAATCCCCGCATGTATGATATATATTGTAATTTATCATTCTGACGTGCGGTAAGAAGCTGGAAAAGGACTTTATGCAGATACCTGCTTGGTAAGGTGTTAAAGCATGGTATTTACTGTAAGCTTATGTCAGCTTGTACTCCCAAAAGAGTTTAAACCTGTGCTTAATTTTGAGGATCTCTTTAATCCAGTGAAAAAGACTGGGATTACCCCTATGTCTCTCTTTTAATGCAGAAGCCTGTGTGCTTGGCTAGACTAGACTGTAATATGCCAAATTCTATCATTTAAAAGACACCTTGCTTAATTTTTGTAACAGTCATGCCCACAGTTACATGGTTTTTATTATGGCATACGTAAAACCTCTTCCCTGCAAATTTTTAAGTTAAAATTGTTGGTAAAATACTTCTACATATAACAGAAATCACACCAAACTTTTAAGCAATATGCATAAAGTGAAACAAGTCAGGCCTTACACTGGTTATGCAATCTCACATGCTACAAAACAAAAAGCAGTTGATAGCATTAGGTAGACCTTGGCTAAATTATCCTGAAAGGAAAATAACCTCTGCAGCATATTGTCTTCACAACTTTGCTTGCTTCTCCCTTTCAAAGTAACCATACAGTAAAGATCATGAAGGCTGGGTGAGGAAATGGCCAGAACTGTAAAGAAAGAATTACAAACTCAAGTTTTCTTTCCCCTTCAGCCATTGATATTGTTGCAATTAAAACAGAAGTCATACAGAGCTCCTGTACACCCTAAAAAATAATGGTATTTATCCTGGCATTTGTGGCAGAAAAACAGTATAATTTTTTTTTCCTGTCATAACAGGAAATTAATTTTGATCCCTTTCCCCCACCCATACCAAGAGGCATTCACATTCAACTGTCACCTTTTTATTTTTTATTAAGAACTAATTTTCTTTCCTTTTATGCATCTACTATAATGTAAAGTTATGGGCTCCCATTTACAAGTTAATCACCTGATTTTCCTACATCTTCCTATTATTCTTATAGTGGCTAAAAGCAACCATATTTACTCCAGGTATATTTTATTTTGCGTATTTCACGTCTGTATTAGCACGATACTTATTTTCTAAAAGATTTGCTTAAGAGTTTAACAAATTATTATAAACACCTTAGGTACTTGCCAGCTTTACTTTCAGGTTACAGCAAAAGTACTTACTGGATTGTTATTAGTTTTCCCTGCAAGGATGATTCTGGCTTTAACCTTGTTCATATTGAAGTTTTTCAGGTAAGCATCATGAATTCTTTTGGCAAGTGATTTAAGATCTGCCATTTCTGAATCTTCTACATAATTTTCACCTGTTAGAATTTCTGCTTTCAACTTGGCCTTCTCAGACCTTGGCATTCGTCCAAAACGTATTGCTGATGGGAAGACATAATTGTAAGACAAACGTAAGTTATATAAAAATCTGTGCCTTTGACTGTTGCTGATTAGAGCAGTAAGACTTTCTGTCTAGAGAAGAACTGAGGTAGATGTAGTATCTTTATTATGATAAATTAATGAGGGGAAAAAAAAAAAAATCTCATCCTTTCCAACATAGCCAGTGATTAATTATCAAGACAATATGCTAAACTGAAGGTAATCAGATGTTTCAAAACACAGACTGGTATCTGCAATGAGCCAGAACGCAGGCCTTTTCCCATCTACATTACCTAAGCAGTTGTATTTTGTTTTCTTCTTCTTGTGTTCTACAAGTCCCAACATAAAACTCAAAAGTCCACTTTGGGAATTCTAAAAAATACCAAACCTGAGTAAACTTCTGTCAGGAGCTTGGCAGAGAGCACGCACGCCAGCTGAAGAGCTGCCTGGGGAGTTACTGAACTGGGAACGCTGCAACGGGGCTGCGCCTCAAGCCCGTTGGTGATTCTGAACCTACTGGGGCGTTTGGTTCTTTATGCACTGAATGTTCAGTTCAACGTATCTGCGCTGTCTAGTGAGAACAAACCACACCAGAAACCCAGATTTATGCTCAAAGGCTACAGTCAACAAAAGCTCCCCCTAGACCCAGCATTTCATGCTTCTTTTTTCAAGGGATTAGCTTTTCAAGACCTTAGAGGATGAGAAGAGAGTTTGAGCATCCAATCTAGTCATTGGGATTTTCTTTTGAGAGGCAGGAGATGCGAGTTTGAAACACCCCTGGGTGCAGAGGTCTCCCAATTTTTAGGCAAGTGGTCTGGACATTTAGCAACAAAACAGGTGTGTCCACATCCTTCTTGTTTTCAGTTTCAAACTAAATCAGCTCCATTTTAAAAGGGGCTGAAGGTGTGCAAGGTTTTGAGACGGCTAAGAGAGCTCTTCCTCCATTTCAGCATCTAAACCACCAGGAGGACAGAACCTCACTGCCTGGACTGAGCAATTCAGAGCATGTGCAGAATTAGCCCTTCAACACGCCCAAGGAATTTTCTCACGTCATAAGAAGGTGTCTCATGGCAAAGAGGTGATTCTAGGCATGATCTGAAATACAGTTTTGGACTTAAATGGAAGCCTGATATGGAAGGCCTGTTCAGAATCTGGCCATGGGTCTACTGGAAAAGTGGAAGATCTGTTCTAAACCTTGCAGTTTTAAGGTCATGGCTGTAAATCTAGTTCTAACTCTTTTCCTGAGAAGTACTGCCTGCAAGTTAGCAGCCATATCCTTCCCCCTACGGGTTTGCTGCAGTAAAACTCCTGCTAATCCCTTCATCTGGAGCACAGGTACCCACAGCGTTTTAGTAGGACAAAACAGCTTCAACTGAATGTTTGTTCCTGACAACCAGCACAGCCCCGAGATGTGACTTTGTTGGCTGGCACACTCTTCCAGTCTGCTGCTTCAGGAAGGTTATCATCAGTCCTGCAGAGACCACCAACCCTCTCCCAAAGGGCCTTAATCGCAGTCAAGGCTCACCACAAGAGACCCAGACTTCCCCAGAACCAGAAAGTCAACTTTCCCAATGTCTCTTGCTAGAACTCTAGCCTACAATGTCATAGACAGCTTCCCCAACCACGTCCCCACCCCAGCTATCCTGACTGCATAGTTTCCTTAGGAAGTTCATCTCCTAACCCATAGCTTTTCACCTAGACCACCATTCTCACCTACTTTTCACCTACTCCTAAACTGCACCCACTCCCAAGTTCAGCCTTGACACTATCAGACCTACATAGGGCAAGGAAACTACTGTCATCTGGCCAACCAAGATGTGTTTTCTCATGGCTTGGCCTCTCCGTTTTTACCAAAGTTGCTTAGCAAGCTACATACTGTGCATAAAACTGCCTTGTGGGTTGAAATTGGCCTGTAAGCCACAGGTTTACCAACCTTATCTTAAATCATTAATACAAACAATAATTTTTAAACTGGTTATCTAAACACTCTGAATTTTTACCATTCCATTTAAGAAAACCCACCAGATTCCTGTTCCATAATCAGCACAGATCCTCACCCTCCCCCCACACTCCCTGAACCATCTGCCCAAGAGCTGTTGCACTGTAACCTGAAAAATAAGTCTGATTTTCTACAGATTTCTATCCTACATCATTCCTTCCTACAATGAGCCAGTTGTTCCTCTCCTACTCCTCTACAATGCCCTTGATCAGAATTCTTCCAGTATTGAAATTTGTTTCGATGGGAGTAATGGTGCCAAAGTTCTGGGTGAAGAAGGCAACTAAATGAACATTCACATGGACAAACAGACGTCCAGCACAATTGTGTAAAGCTCACAAGAGTACATTTGGCAGCTGGATATCAATTACATTAACTATTCATTAGGGAAACTGGTGTCCCCTGCCATGATCTATACTGTAAAAATCTGAGCTTCAGCTCATATGTGTAAATAAAAAAACACTCTCCAAGTGCCTGCTTCCAGAGGCAGACTCTGGGTAGGAACAAACAAATTAAGGGCACTCTTACCTACCATTATGTGACATTCCAACTGAAAGGCACTTTTGAAAACGACAGTATTGGCACTTATTACGATTTTTTTTCTGAATTTTGCAGTTGCGATCACATTTATCATAGACGAGTTTTAAACGGATTGTTCTTCTAAAAAAACCCTATAAAAAGTTGGAGAAGAGAATATGTAATGTTAAAGAATGTTGAGCACTAAACTTCAATCGTACAGGTACGTTTTGTTTTTTTTTCTTTTATTATTGATGTCACTAGCAAAACAATATGCAAAGTATAACCTGTCCAGAGGGAGGAATCTGTGCGGTGAAGTGGTGTGTATGGAGGCGTGTGTAAAATGGCAGACAGGAAAGGAGGGAGTAGCTCTCAGCCCTCTTCCCTGGGAGAAGATCAAGAGTACCCGAGCAGGCTTGTCCTTGAGGGTTAAACAATTCCAGCTCACATCCTGCTTTTGTACGCATTCTCTCAGCATCCCCTGTCAGAAATAACCTTCATCTTTCATATGTGTAAGTCACACAAACACAGAAAAACCTCTAACTTAACAGATCTTACCGTGACGTCTTGATAATGCAACCTAAGTTTAGTCTCGTACTACAAAATCACAGGGTTAGCAAATTTAGAGACATTGCAACGTTTTGTTTCACGTGACGTAACAACACGTTGTTAAGACTGTGGGACACAACTGACAGTGAACTGGCTCCCCATCTCTTAATAGATATTCTATCATCATTCTGTAAGATTTATATTCGAGTTACATATTCTGACATTGTGCACGAAAGAAAACATACACAATTATTCCTCTTACCTTACACTATAATTTAGAAAAAAAATAGGGAAAACTAAAACATTAGAAGGAAAAAGAAAAGAATCTTATCATTCATAGGCCATATCATCCCAAAAATTACACATCAGTGTTAACATAATTTGCCCCAGAGACATGCACTGGCTCCCAGAACTACAAGAGGGACAAAACTAAGTGATTCAGGCAGAATGTGGTGGAAATGAGAGAAATTCAGGATTTGTTACTGTTATAATGGAAATGTAGCAAACTCACATGCTTCTCACAGCCATACTCCTAACACAAATAAAACACTAGTGGAGCAAGTAGGCTTTGACTTTTAGTCACAGTTTAGTGTTTTGAGTCGTTTTAGTGTTTAACTAACTATATCCAGAAAAGCAGCATTAAAATTATCATTGTGAATTGCCCCTGCTTGATGAAGGTCTGGTATTGAGTTATGGTATCTGGTTATGGGATCTGAAAAATTTCTTTCAGAAAAAAAGATCACAGATATGTTTATTATTTAAATAATTGTAATGGCTAGAATTATATTAATTAAACATTTATGTAACAAATGTTTATCTTCATATAACCCTGTAAATAAAACAACATGATTTAGGTTCTTAAAAAGAAAATTACGACTGTACCTTACAACCTTCACAAGCATGTACTCCGTAATGGTAGCCTGAGGCTTTATCCCCACAAATTCTACATTCAATGTTTAATGCTCCACTGGGTGATTCATCTATGCTACCTGGAGCTGTGGCAAAATTAATGGATGAAGGACTGGATGCTGGTGAAAGGGTGTCTAAAAGAAAAAGGAACACTTCATAAATACTATACTATCAAGATTGATACCATTTCTATACTAAATCCACACAAAAACGAGCTTATTCTAAAAAATAACCATGAGTTAATAATAGTCATTAAGTAACAATTTGGCCATAAGTGTTTGAAAAAATAATTAATATTTATAACAACAGTACAAACACACACAACATACAGGGTGTACCCTGCTCGTTTTGATGAAACAGACAATGTCAACAAACAAAAAGCCTTACCAAAGTAACCCTGGTAACAAGAACAGGAGGGTGATAATGGCTCTTGAGGATTCAATAAATATGCACCACAAAATAAGAGAAAAAAACCCCAAGCTTTTTAGGGGTTTTCCCAAGTTTCATTTTTTACTTTGATTTTTTTTCAAATGTTTCTCAATTGGATGCAAACATGAAGTTTTCTTATCCCACAACTTAAAATTACAAAGTACTGAATTAATACTTCTTTTAAATCAAGGAAGTTTTCTTAACCGTAAAACCGCCCATATACCACCTTCACAAACAACAAATTTGAAACCGAAAAGCAGTATTCAACGTGTACTTACTGCTCAAGACTAACAGTAGAAAACACAAAAATAAAATAAACCCAACACAATGGAATAGAATCCCTCATGACTTCCGAGTTTGTCTCACAATATCTGTTCAGCCTGGCACTTGTTCTTTCCAGACAGGTTACTAACGGCTTATCTTGCTGTTACGCCTTCCATCTCTTGTGCTGTAGTGGTGAGCATCAGATCTATTGCTATGGCATGACAAGAGACATATTCCCAGCTCACGCTGAGTTACACTTAAGATACACTTAAAGTCCCCTTGACTTTTGAAGGGCTACTCTTAGTTGTAAATGATGAGGCCCTACAAAGCAGTTACACAACTTCTCTAAGGAATTTTCTCCAGTAAAAGCATGCACCTGCACACCGCTAGAAAGGCGAAACAGCTACTAAAAGGAAGGTAAGTCTGCTTCTAAAATAATCCAGCAACAAAAGCCTTGCTCAGATGTTCTATCTTTTGATTATAATGGGAAAAGCATTTCTGAATTGTTGTACAACGGAATAAACTCTCCAGACCTTTTACTACTAGATGAACATGTTACAAAACTAACATATTCCAACCGTCATTATTTCAATTAATATTTCCACCTTATTTGAGGAAAATACTTTCTGAGGTCAGAATTTTCTTTTATCTTCCATCTTGCAACTTGCACCACGAGACTTTAGCAAATTAATGGGCGTGTTATTTTAACAGAAAGATTAAGAAACACTCATGAATGTAGGTCAGCAAGTATGTTAGAAAAAAACCTTGGCATCAAGCTCAGTCTGCACTGCCAGCACTGCCAAGCCCACAGGCATCAAAGTCATCAAGAGCTGCCTAAAACCCAGGATTTTTTTTTTTTTTTTTAAGTGTGATTCTCATTTCTTTCTACTTGCCTTGTGGAATTTGAGCCTTAAAAGTTTACATTTTCCATCCTCTCTAACAGCAAAACTAGAATGAACACTGAATACTCAAATTAGAAGGTGACAGTAGAAGCTATTGTAGGACTTGTACACACATACACACAAATATTAATTAAAAAAATCACATCTCAGAGTGCTATGTTATAAACCTAGCACGTAACTACTTCTCCTGTAGAAGGCACCTCTCTATGTGAAGGTCAGCAACTAAAAGGGACCCAAATCATATTTCTACAAACATTCCTTTGGGCAATAGTGCCAAGAGGCAGGTCTCCCTTCAAAAGTCACACTCTTCACTTGAACCCCTTTAGCACAGAGGCACACCTCAGTTGTACTAGTGCAGTTTTTGTAAGGAAAAATAGTGATCACAGCCTGGGAATCAATTTAAAGTGAGAAAACTCCCAAAACAAAACATCATGTAAACCAACCAGAAAGCTAATCGTAAACTCCTTACAATCGTTCTACTGCTAAAAGATTTATAAAACCACAGTTTCAAAAGGAATACCTCACAGACATCACTGCAGTGTCCCGTACCACTTCAATGATTTCCATTTTGATCTCTCAAAGCAAAAGCTTCTCACAAAGACCTTTTCACTAAAGACTATGTAATGTATTAGCACTCAGCCTGTTGCTTTAACCAGGGTAGAAGCTGCTCTTGAGGGGAGAAAACAGCACGTTCAAAACATCAGTGCACTAAAATATACTGGGATTCTAGGTGAGCTTTTAAGAGTTCGTTTATAAATTCTTGGCAAACACTTCACAATACTTTTCAAGTATATGTGATTTGAAAAATTTAAAAAAAGGGGTAATTCCTTTAGTCTTCCTATATGCTACAATACATTGTAACTTCTTTGCTAGTAATAGTGATTTTTAATAGTTATTTTGAAAAAGGTCTTGATATTAAGGATAATTTAAACCAGCGTCACAGTAATTTTTCAGTGACATTTGTCTGATTAGTTAACTTTAGCCTTAAATATTTTAAGACCATGCTATAATCAGTTTATATATTTCTAAGTGACACTTAGTCATAAACAACAATTATTGCATTAAAATAGTTTTTTATTTCTATCACTACGTATTTATAAAAGAAAGTTTTAGAGGCAACCAAACCCCTCTTACCTGTTATAACCGATCCATCAGATCCTGGACCATTTCCCAGTGACTGGAACTCTGTTAAACTTAAAGCTCCAGAGCTATCATCACCTAGAGACTGAGAGATGTCTTGAATGTTCTCCATATCTTGTAGGAACTCTCCAGATAACGGGCTGCCTATATCATCCTCCTCCAAGGGAGTGAGGGGATACAGCTGGTTTTCAGTGTCCACCATTTTGATCGAGTAGAGCAGTCACTTAAACTTCTTTACACTGGTGAAAGAATAATTTATTTAAAAATCCTGTGGTTAAAACATCAAAACTTTTTTTTTTTTTTAAATATTTGAATCAGTTACAGCATACCAAATACATGAATTCTAATCCAATCGTGAAATATTATACATTTTGTTGATCCAGAAGCTTTATGCAGCATGAATCATCAACAGAGAAAAAAAGAATCCCTCAAATACTTCAATATGAATTAAAGTTATGACAAGATCAATATGTAGATGATTGTTTTCTCTCCTTTGCTGATAAAATTTACATACTGTGTATAGCAGGCATTATGCAATTCCCACCAGAATTTATAGAAAAATAACAAATATCGATACGCATACATGCTATGTTTGAGCAGTCTTTGCTCACCTTATCTAACAGCTTTTAGATATGTTGATTTGGTCCTCGGTTCTCATCTTTTTAAAATTTGTTCGATAGGTCTTTTATGACACTGCAGAGAACAAAATACTGTCTCATCCTAAATCATTGTCGAAATGGGCCAAACTAATACTTTTTGACCTACTTTGGTCAAAGAACACCTTCAGCATGACTGCTACAGCATATACAATCCAATATAATTCCTAGAGTTATTTCTATGTCCTACAGTGAAGTAAGTTTTTAAAGTTGCCCTCAAAACTAGCCACCAGGGTCATCAACTTTGAGTAACAGCACAGCTTCCTAAGAAAACGTCGCAAATTTTAATTCTTCTATTGACTTGTTGGGGAAGGAATTAGTAAATGTACTGCTGAATGTTACTACTGCTGAATGGATAGACTTCTGCTAAAAGAAACTCATCTTTTACACCAAGGACCTGATACTCGTGTTATACTCAGTATGGGTACAAACACCTACTGCTGCAGAGTCTCGTCCACACAGTGAATATGCCGGGGCAGAGTTAGAGAAGCTCTGGCTCTTACTCTGGTTACTGCTCAACGTTGGCTTTTGCAAAGAACACGTGTTCACTGCAGTTTATTGTGAAGCTTGAAACTGCCAGTAACTGGCTATATGGGGATACACAAACGCTGATTTACAACAAAAGTGCCATGTTATGATTAAAAAAAACCTAAACTCTTCCTTGATGTTATTTCAAGTTTCAAATAACAACTAGTTTGATTCCTGTAACACTAAATATTTTGTATTAATAAATCCTTTTCTTTGATAACATGTGACATATGCATCCCATTGAAAATCAGGCATTTATTCTGTAGAAAAAAAAACCCCACAACTATTTTTTGTCTATGTAACTGACGAAAAGAGTACAGTTAAAATAATACAAAGTTCTGACTACTGTTTTACATCCAAATGGCAAAAGGCAGCCATCACTTGTATTCAGTTATATTTTAAAAAAACCTTCAAAATATTTTGAAGCGAGTTATCCACAATCAAGCCTCTTATACCCAGGCTGATGGCAAGCCTGCCTTCAATTATATTTGCATAACTTTACAAAGTATTACACAGACGGAACTGAAGGCAGAATGAGCTACTCAAGACATCTACAAGTTATGCTTGTAGCAACCTTCAGTGCACACTCAGATTTAAAATGATTTTTCAGGTTAACTTTCTGCTTTCATGAAAAACCACTGGTGCATATGTATCACTCCTACGGCATTTTCCAATATTTTCATTACATGACTAAGGCAAAACAATTTAAAAAAAAAAACAACCAAACCAAACCATCTGTATTACATAAGGCTTTCTATTCCACAATTTGCATCCTTCCAGCCAATCAAGGTTATTTACAGTATATACATTAGACTTGGCAAAACTTGCCTTTGATTTTCAGAGTACCCAAACTGTGATACCAAATGGCTCTAGTGGTACATCCTACATACCCATTATTTATTTTTAGATAAGTGAACAGACATAAAAATATTAACCCCTTAATAATATTAAATATTATTATGGGAAGATTGAAATTGGAGTGAAATCAAACTCTGATGATTAGAACAAACCAATATGTTTTATATATCCCTGGGCAATTTATTACTGCTCTGCGTATCCTTATGCCTGTTTTTGAAAGAAATTATGTTGAGGCTAAAAAAAAAAAAAAAGGTTTCACTCAAACAGTGTCTAGATTCTCTTTCCTGTAATTTATGAAAATAAGTTCCAGTATTTAGCCTGTGATACATTTTTTTCCAACCCAAACAACACTGTGGAGCAAAGATACAGATTTTTTTTTTTTTCCCCCTAGCCTACGATATACCTGGAAGAAGAGAACTTCTAGGAGTAGCAGACACAAACACACAGGAAAATCAGAGCTTTTACTCATTTTACTTAGTTCACAGGCTAAACCGGGGTTCTTTGTGAAAGTAAGCACTGAAGATTTGAGGATCTGTCCAGCATCACTGAGATGGTAAAGTTTTCAGAAGGTTCATTGTATTTTGACTATTAAACCCATGCCAAACACAACAGTCAGTTCTGAAGGCTGAACACTGAAAGGAATCGCAAATTATAAGAATTCTACCTCTAAACATCTGATGTTATAAACCAAATGAGATAGAATTCCACTGTCCCTTCTTCAGTAGGAAAAAAGCCAGATTCTGTCACTATTACAAACTTGCCATCATACTACCAGGACCCTTAGTAAAGATCTATTTGCCCCATTTCTTCAGAACAGGATAATTAGAAAACTAGAAAAGGAAAATATGTTTTACATCACATGGCGTAGAGCAAACAGGAGTATCTAGGAGACTAAGAATGTGAATTTATCCACAATTTCTAAACACCAATTACAGACAACAGGTATGTTACTGTAGATTTTACTTGGACGTGTCACATTGCTAATCTATCACTATGCACAGCTTGGCTGTATTTAAAAATAACTGTCAAATTAAGTTATCTAATTTAATACTTTAAATACTCATTAGCACATTGTGCCAGATTGCCAGCACTGTAATAAAATATTTATAAGCAATATAGGAGTTTTCATGTACATCTCAACTTCTTTCTGAAGGGATCGGTTGGAAGGCTGCTGCAGCTTTTAAGAGCATCCAAGCAACACTGATTGTGATGCTTAATTATTTTACAGTGTAACAGAACGTTATATTGGAAAACTGAAACTAACTTCTTTCCCGCAGAGGACTGAAGCGTATCTGCTATCCATTATAGTCCCTACAAAATTTCCATAATCTGACACTATTTCGTAAAATAAATCCCAGTTGTCACTTCCTTTTAAAGCTCAACAGTTGTTCTGTCTCCAAGAACCACCTTTATTTCTCTTCTAAATCCTACCCGCTTGGATTCTGACAAAATATTAAAGATATATCTGCATTTGATACTCAGAAGCCTGTCAGCAGGAATAAAATAGAAATTAAAATGATTGTAACATACATGACCATAGTTACTGAAGAAATCATCAGAAATTATATGAATGAGTACTCTAAATAAAAACTACTTAAAAAAAATAATTACCCCAATGCTTGAGGAATGTATGGTCACACACCAAAGGAAAACAGCACAGATTATTGTAGATCATCTGACAAAGATTTTATTGCTGAACCATCTGCATGCATTCAGAAGAACACTTCCCGTATCATGAAGACTCAAGATGCAGAGGAATCCTGCAGATGCCGAGCGCCTTACAGAACAGTCCTTTCACAAAGTATGAAAGACAAAGAACCAACTACAGACATTTCTGGTTAACATCATCTGTTATTCTCTGCCAATACTTTCAATCTTGAACATCTCTGTACAATTTCTCTGTTGAGGCCGCATGAAGCAGCTCGGTAACACTTGGAACTAATTGCTGTTAGTTATCTAACAGAGCCCAAAACGTTCCATTATGCACCTGATATCCCTGATACAACTGGAAGGTAATATGCTCCAGCTGAGAAATGAGAATTCCCTTTTATGTATTTCATTTCCAAAATATCCTTGTGACATGGCTGTTTTGTGGTGAGGGACAAGACTAAAGGAATCTTGACGTACATTGTTTTTGTAATGATATTTGAGAATAACAACAACTGTTTTCCAGCAATCCAAAGGAGACTTCCAAATCTGCCTCCCTAAGGAGCCATCAACAACAACAAAAAAAAAAAAGAGGAAAGAAAGGAAAGCAATGGCAGAGCCAATGATTAGCATTGCTCCTCCAGCGTGCCCTTCATGAAGTTCTCCCAAGGTAACAGTTGTTCACAGCACAGAAACATTATATTCCCCTGCAGAAATGCACGAGTACTCTGCCCCAGGATACCTGGGGAGGTTCCAGGAGGTACTAGACTCCTTGTACCCAACGTTACTTCAAGTTCCCTACTGAACCACGTACAACTCTCCAAGTACAACTTCATCCAGCACAACCTTTAAAAGATTAAGTCAACACTGAAGTCTACCTTGAAATAAAATAGGCATTGTTTGACAGGAAAGCAAAGGCTTGATAGCTGAACTCTGAACGTGGCAACAGCTCTCTCAGCAGCGTGCCTGCTACTGCCTGAACTGAACCGTACTTTTCCACATTTACAGTAAACATTTAACATTCATCCATCTTTTTAGCTGAATTTGAGAACAACCTAACAGCTAGCGAAACATAAATGAAGTGCTTATTGTTTTAACTATTAAATTACGTACCCTTTTGTACTTTCAAACGCTCCTAGCAAATTACAGCTGCTTAAACATTATGGCTCTTGTCACTGATTAACTAGCTACCTTAACCAACATAGCCATTACATAACCCTTTCTGCACGCTGTCAAAATATACTCATATTTTCATTACTGGAAAAGTTAGAATTAATTATTTTATAAGCACAGAAAAATGTCTAGTATTCATGTAATAAACTGTTTGCCTTCTGTCTTCTCTGCCATTTGTGCATGTTTACACACGCATATGCTTTCATTGGCAGGTTTCACTTAATATGCATCGATCCTTGCTTGTATGAAAATAAAGCTTCCAAAATAAAAAGGGTAATGAGGATGAAGTTCATTGAAGTAATATTCACAGAGAGTATTTCGCTGTACAAAAAAAAGCTGTGCATGTTACAACAGCAGATGTGGTAGCTGCAGCATGATGATTCCAAGCGGCTGCTTAAGTCAGAATTTCTTCTTATTCTTAAGACTTCAGCAAAAATTTTGTGCCACAAAGACACTGGCAGAGGATTTTCACAGTTCCCTGTACAATGTTTTAGTCTCTGTACCCCCTTTCCTACACCCACAAACACCCACAAAGCACACTGAAAACAAGAGAGCATGACATAGAAAAATAAGAACACAATTTCATGTCATTATGGTTTTAAGGATAAACAGGTTTTACTCGTGCTCTCTCACAGCCTGTTCTCTCTGAAATTAGTCCTCTTTTCCCACCACCACAACGCAAACACCCAACGAGTAACTTACCTACAAACCTGAAACAAGTTCTAAAGAAATCGCAGTCAGAACATCAAAGAAACAAACCTAATCATGCAGCGATCAAGTTATTGGCTTCATTTTTGAAAAGGGATGGTGGGAGACTAAACCCCCGGCTCT